GATGCTCTAAATTATTGCTAGAAGTAGTACTAGTGGAAGAATTTGGCCATTTTGCATCACGTGATACCAATGGAATGCAATTGAACTTTGCAATTATTAATCAAAGGTCAACCGTGTCCTACCTCCTTCTGTGACCAAGTAACACATATGCTCAAGGACATCATCTATTGAATCTCTCTTCCATCCACTTCTAGCAGTAATCTGACAGTAGCAGTTTTTCCAAACTGGAAAAACTCATTTTTCTTAAATGATACTTAACAATACTCATTTACTGTACTATGAGTGCATTTTATAATAACTATTAATTAAGTGTTTTTTGTCCTCTCTTCTTCATTTCAATACATGATAGTAGATGATTTTTTTAAGTAAAATACATGAATTAAGTTTTCCAAAATAGAGAATACTTTTGACATTAGTACAAGTAAATACAAGAACTTTATTTTAAAAATAGAAGTAAATACAAGTAAATGAACTATTAAGTAGATGTGCAATGTCTGACTGTAAGATTATACTTAATCAATCAATCATAAAAACTTACTAGGGTCAAATAAAGTTCAATAGATATGATAGTAGAAATGACAATGTGATATTATATCAACAATACAGACTAATAAGTAAGCAGTGCTTTATGTTGTTTATTATTATTATACTACCACAAAGATGAAATACTGACTAAAGTACCAATTGGTGCTGTAACAGTTGAACTTCACAGAAACACTTTTGTTTTTGAAACAGGAGAATCAAACAGCACCCTTTGGAATAGTGCGTTGTTATACTTGAATTTTATGGTTGTAAATATGATTTTATTTAGATGGGGAGCCACCATATGATGGATTCCCAGTAACTAATATTGATAAAAACAATCTTGTATTAGTTGTTATATACAATGTGGCAGCTACTGGTGGCCTTGTTTTTGCATGTGCTTGTTTCACTTTCAATTTTGTGTTTAGAAGAAGAAAGTAAGTAGTACTTGAATACTTGATTGGTAAGTGAGTTTCATTATTAGGATCGTTAAACTGACAAGTTGTAACCTAAATAATATAATCATACTGGGATCTGCATTGCTATATACAAGTATTTTCTTTTATTCTTACTCTTCAAACAACAAGACTATACGAACAGTATTCTGTAATGTAAGCTATACAAAACCACTATTATGTTTGTTTTTAATGTACACAGTGGTGAGTACTCTATGGTGGTCGCCCTTGGGCTATACCTACAGGCTTGGTGCCTATTGCATCATATAGCACTCACTGCTGTGTTATTACTATTCTGTAATGTAAGCTAGCTATAAAACCACTAT